GTTGTACGCGCATGTATTCACATGTATTCGCGCCATGTATTCATGAATACAACAGCAAAAAACCCATAAAATCAGGGCAGTCCAGTTGTACGCGTATGTATTCACATGTATTCGTGCTGCTGTATTCATGAATACAACAGTAAAAAGTACCTAAAACTATGGTAGTCCAGATATACGAGCATGTATTCACATGTATTCGCGCCATGTATTTATGAATACAGTAACGACAATCACCTTAAAAATATGTATGTCCAGCTAAAGAGAGATAAAAACATAAAAATACGTATTTCATGCCTCAATGGTAGTATATACCATAAATATTTATTTTACTATATATTTGGCATAAGAGGTAAAATTTATTATAATAAATAGGGTGTATAACTATGCTACCGGAAGAAAAAGTCCGGTCGAACCTGTTACTTGGTCCTCTTCCAATCAGTATGGCTTCAATTTAGGCCCGATTGATGGAATATAGGCCCATATTGACCTAGCTCAAGAATCTAGAAGAGAATCTTCTCTAGCTCCCCGCCATTCTCTTTCCCGCCAATCCAAATCCCTCCATTTTCCTCTATTTTCCCATTACTCTATAAAATCCTTTCCTTTTCATTTCTACAGCATAAAGGTTAAAGAAAAAAAAATGAATGAAAATTTGGAGGAACAGAGCAAGCTTCCCGAGCTTAAACTGGGTTAAACCCTAATTCGTTAAATGTTTTATTACATTTTCAGAAGTTTATTCTTACAAGTCTTTTCTAGCTCTAATTTTTTATTATTTACTTTTTCTCTTCATATTATTTATTGTGTTTAATAAATAGAGGATTCATATTAGTTGTTCAGCTGATTTAGGGATTTAACCGTAGTTTGATTGATTGAAATTTGTTACCGTGAATGGTTTTGTTTTAGATGCTAAGCAAGCTCAAGGATTTCTCTCATTCTTCAAAACCCTGCCCAAGGTAAACTTTTATTCATTCTGTTCAAACGGTTATTGCACCTTCACTTGTAGAGAAAATTGTTAGTCGGTTTGCTTAATAGAGAACTCTTTTTTTTTTGCAGGACCCTAGGGCAGTTCGCCTCTTTGATCGTCGGGTGAGCCTTCTCTTAATCTCTGTGCTAGTCCTCCTTTTTTTTTTCCAAAGATGGTGGAGTCCTAGCCAACGAACCAATAACTTTGTCCACCAAGACTTGGGCAAATTGAAGTTTTTTGCCTCTATTGGGATTCCGACCTTGGTCTCTCACTGTCTTTATTCCAATTTTATTGGCTGCTAAGCGATAATCGTGGGTTCTGTGCTTGGACTTATTATTTGTCTTTGCAGCTACATGTAGTGATAGCTATTTTTTTTTTCTTAGTTCCATTTGAGATTCTTGAATGGATGCCCTTATTCT